TTTTGCCAGAAATGAGGAACACTGGGCCATTCCATGTATTTTTTGTTTGGTTTGATATATACATGGGTGTGAGAGTGAGTAAGTGTGTATGTGTGAATGCACATGGCCCAAACTCTAGCTCCCTTGTATGCTCATTCCCTTGCCTAGTGATCCATCCTACATGCCCTTTTTATTATATAATGCAAATTTGAAACAATGCATTCATCAGACAAAACTGGACTTTATGTGATTGCTAAGAGCTATATTGGCTGTTTATTTTTTTAAATGTAGCTAGTAGTGTTTGCTCTGTGGATTTAAAAAGAAATAGATTAAAAGGAAGAAAATGTGCCTTGTTTGTTTCAGGTGCCAAGAGGAGGTGTAGCTCTCACACTTTACAGTCTGCTCTGATAGATTCACCCCATTCTGAGGAAGTGGCAGAGGGGCAGAGAGGGGCAGATGACCTGGCAGTTTCAGGGTTACCTACTGAAGGTTCGCAGGCAGCCATGAGAACCAGTCTGCCTTGGAAGAGGAGGGGGACACTTCAGAGCTGGAGGCAAAGGCGATGCAGGGGGGGGTTCTGGACCCTGTCAGGAGATGGAAGGCACACTGAGCAGATGAGCAGCAGGAGTCGCCCTGCAGGTGAAGTCAGAAGCTTTCTGAAAGGGAGGAAAGGAGGGCTGTGTCAGCGTGGAGTCACTCCTCACATGGACAGATGCTTCTTCCACATCTCAAAAATAATGCTTTTTTTTTTCTTTGCAACTGTTTTGTAACCAGTCAAGCTCTAATAAAAGGACTGCGATTCTAGACTTTCATCTAAGCCTGCTGGAGATGAACAGAGGGAGGGAGAGGCATGTTCACATCATTGGGGTGGAAAAAATAACCAAAGTTCCAAAGAACCTTGAGTTTCAGTGGCTCCCCCTTGCCATCCCAGCACCCACCAGTCCATCCTTTTAGTTCAGCAGCATCACAAGCTCCTGTCTTGAAGAGGGTTTAGACCAGGGGTCCTCAAACTATGGCCCACGGGCGGCATCCAGCCCGCCATGCCCCTTTATCCAGTCCGCCCCGGGGTTTTGCACTAGCCACATGCACATGTGCACGCAGCTTGCTCACACAGAGATCCTGCTGGACTCACTCGGAGAAAACAATCTCCACACAAGCAAGCCGCTGCCTCACCCCACAGCCCCCCCACCTCTGTTCGCTGCACATGCGCCCCACACCCTCACTGGCCCCCAGCCCCCACCCCCGCCGACACAGCCTTGGGAGCCTGCGCCCACTGCCAGCACCTTTCAATTGTCCCCTTGTTGAAAAAGTTTGAGGACCCCTGGTTTAGACTGATGACGAGAGTACATGCAATGTAATAATTCAGGAACAGATAATTTGATAAGCAGTGTAGCAGCCACAGAAGTGGTGTGTGTGTGTGTGTGTGTGTGAATGATGGGTAGATTTGTTGATCTGACTCCTTGTATCTTTATGAGTCACACCTCTGCCCTGGTAAGCAATCCTGCGTAAAGCTAGCATAGAGAATGTTTCATAATATGCTCATTTGATCTAAAACATTTATTCCTTTTCTGTATTTGAACTTTGCAGAACACTAAACACAGAAATCCTTTAACTCTGGAAACTCACTTTTATCTAGTAGTTCTGCTTCTGCACTAAGACTATTCGCAATCATACATGCATGACACCTTAGAAAAGTCTTTCCTCACTTGGTGTCCCTCAGGTGTCTTGGACAACAATTCCCATTGTCTCCAGTCAGCATGACCAGTGAGGGTTAAGAGACTTGTATTCCAACAAATCTGGCACTCTAAAAGTGCCTATCAATCACAAGAGGAACATCACCAGTGCTGAACAGTTCTTGCCTTGCCGTACATAGTAACCCAGAAAACAGAGAGAGAGATGTGTTCCTTTATCTCTATTGTAAGGATAGGAAAAGGGGTGAAAGTGGCGCAGCGGTTTAAACTGCTGTGCTGCTGGGCTGGTTAATCAAAAGGTTGCCAGTTCAAATCTGCACAACAGGGTGAGTTCCCATTGCTCTGTCCCAGCTCCTGCCAACCTTGCAGCTCAAAGGATGCAAATGCAAGTAGATAAAAAGGTACCACTTCAGTGGGAAGGTAACAGCATTCCCTGCACTTCAGTGTTTAGTCATGCTGGCCACAAGACCATGGAGACTGTCTGCGGACAAACGCTGGCTCCCTTGGCTAGGAAACGGAGATGAGCACCGCCCCCTAGAGTCAGGCATGACTGGACTTAACGTCAAGGGGAAACCTTTACCTTTAAGGATAGGAAAGTGTATCTTCCTATCAAGGGTGTGGCATTGGTCTTGTGGTGAACAATGAAATTAGATAGCATAAACGCCTCTGGCGTGGTACACCTTTATTCCCTCCCCCTTCTAAGGTTATGACCCCTTTCCAACGCGAGTTCAATTTCCAGGACTTGTTATTCTAAAAGCTATGAGTGGTCAACAATTATTTTCCCTCATCTCTGTTCCGGTGACTCTCTGGGAATTAGACTGGTCATTGATGCTGCTTGTATCACTGATATTTTGTTTTGAACATCTTTTTGTTAATGTTCATATGTTAAGACACTGTTTAATTTCGGCCACCTGCTTCAGTAAGATGATACCATTTGTATCAGCTCTTTGTCACCATTGTTTTACTTCACATTTCTAAAGAAGCAAACATCATGTGTTTTCCAAGATAATGTGATTAAACCTGCCTTGTTTGGGGTTTTCATTCATCCATCAGTAGAACACATATTTGTCTCCAAATCCATATGAAGTTTCCAAATTTAAGGAATGAAATTCTGTGTTGAACCAGGGTATTACAGCACATTAAATAAAATATAAAACAAAGATGTCATGTTTTACATCTAACGGTTGGATTGAGATTTACATACTTAAAATGGGGCTGGTGGAAGTTAACATCCCTTTTCCCTCCCACCAGAGCATCTTTCTACTCTCTGACAATGCTACCCACAAGGCTCAGAGGACCCTCCTGAATTGGGTTAGCTGTAGTGCATAAGAGATCCCTGAAATTAGAGTGAAACCTCCTTCCATGAAAGAATACCATCCCTCAAGGAAAGGGTGATCCTAGATCTAACCCTAGAATTAGAGACTTTCTTCACCAACCATGTTTTGTACATTCAGTTCATTTTCCTCCCCATGTTCTAATCAGTCAAATTAATTGTGTGCTGCAACTGATTATATTAATAATTATGGATGGAACTTACTCTGCCATAGGCATTTTCTCCTGATATAGTTCATTGTTGAATATAGCAATTCACAATATTGGCATTTTTAAAAAATAGGAATGGCCTTGAACAAAAGAATGGTAAAGTTTCCACCAAGGACTTAGTTTGGCTTTCATACCAGACTTTCAAGTGTAACGACACACATATGGGTACTTGACTTTTACATTTCAATTTGTATTCACCTCTTAGCATGTTTTCAGTCCATTACAGGAGATGGTTTTCTCAGGAGACTGCATTAGAGATAAAATGTTGTTCATCTCCTGGGCAGTTTATATATTTTTAGATAGTCTGATCTTTTACTACCAATTCATAAATATATGGATTATATTGCTTCACCATACAATGCTTTCAAAGACACACAAACTGCCTCCATTAAAAAGGATTCCAAGGAATGAGGGATGATCAAGATAAAGATTTAGGAATGTTGTTATATATCACATTATTATTGAGTGTATTGTTAAACTGGAAAAAATATATGTTTTTTAAAATCATTATGCAGCACTTGAATGGCAACTAATCTGTGCTTTACAACAGTATGAATCCAGCCCATTTTTACTATTAATTCATTATTCTTACAGCTTGACACTTGCTGATACTTGAACATGTTTTTGCTTTGAGGAATGTTCCTGTAAATCTGTTATAATTTGTTTGAAGGGAAAATGTTGGCTTCACTGAAGTGAGTTGATTGATTTGAGAGTTTTAAAATACCTTGACGAATTAATACAAAGTCAATTTCCAGGAGGGTAGCGGTGTTGATGGAAAACCAAAGAACTCCATGGAACATTCTACACATGTAGAAAACTCTACACATTTATTATGGCATAAGATTTCATGGACTAGAACCCCCTTTATCAGATACAGGAAGTGTTATCCTTTATTGGCTGATGAGAACAGGGAATAGAGGAAATTGCAGAACATACAAACTGTGGCCAATTACGTCAAATCTTAAATGTGTGTAAAATAAGCACAGTGCCCATTCACAAAAAAGAATTGATGATAACAGAGACATCCTTGCATTGCTAAGTTAATTCACATATTGCATCATATTTTACCACCATATTATGATATAGCTTAAAGACATGACAATGTATTCACACCTAAAGTTTAATTACATAACATGAAGCATCCCAAAAGACTCATACAGTACAGAGCACAAAGAATATATATATTCAATAAGCTAGCTCCATGGTGCCACTCCAACTATTATAGTTTTTGCTGTATAGATTTGATCAGAGACAGAATTCAGCACTTTGCATCTCCAGGCAATCACAAAAAATAGCAGGAAAAATTTCAGAAACCTGTGGAAGTCTATGGAACTGGCAATAATACATAGCTTAAAATGAAGATATTTTACAGGGATCTGCAGGTACAGGGTATCTTACTGAGTAGGACTCTGTAGCTAGAATTCATTATAGACTGGGCATTTTGTCTGCAGAGTTCTAAAAATGTAGATCAGATAATAAGCACATTCACCTTCCCTTTTTAAGTGTTCTGCTATATTATGCAAGAAGTAAAATTCTTACATCTACACTAATAATGAAAAGGAATATCTACAGAATGCTTTCTAAAATCTCCATTTCTATGTTTTCCTCTTCCATTTCTTCTGAAGCATCCATTTGCAAAATATGCTATGAATTTCTTTTTCCACAGAAGCATGGTTTGGACTAGCATAATGCAGATAAGATTTGTAGATCCAAAACATTTCTTACCCTGACTTGAAAAGCTCTGGGTAGACCAATATCTGTCTATCAGACCAGAAGCTGGAGAGGTGATCAGATAACAACAGTTACGGTCACACTTTGCCCAGAAGGAACTACTTTCCTATTCCAGACAAGTATTTTTTTAAGCTCTTCCCTAAAGCTGTCATGCAGCCAAGCATATATGAAAGGGTTATAACATGCTGAGCTCATAGCAAACCAGTGGCAAACCAGCTGGACCAGACTGAAATAATAAGAATCAATAGCACTGATGTTAATGTCCCGAATAAGGTTGAAGATGTGAAGGGGAAGCCAGCATACCCCAAAGACTACGACCACCATGACCAGCAGGCAGAACGTCTTCTTCCTTCTTGCTCTGTCCCAGTCAGCCTGGTTCTGGGTGACCGTCCCTGGCATCACCCTGTTCTTTAGCTTCAGAGAGATCTTGATGTAGGATATCAGGATGGCCAGCAGAGGGAAGAGGTAGGTGATGACCAGCAGGCAAAAGGCATAGGTTTGTCTCTGGTGCTCTTGTTCCCCCCAGAACTCCTCACAGAGGGTGACTCCCTGCTGATCCAGCTCCACGTAATAAGTGTGCGCCATCGCTGGCAGTGCCAAGCAGCAGGAGAGAATCCAGATGAAGAGGACCATGTAGGCAGTTAGCTGGAAGGAGATGCGGCGGCGCAGCGGGTGCATAATGACAATGTACCGGTCGACAGCGATGGTGGCCAAGGTGAAGATGGAGACATAGACAGTGACCGGCTGCATGAAGTAGACAAAATAGCACAGTGTGCTGCTGAAAATCCATCCGCGGGGCTCAAAAACATAGGCAAGTGTGAACGGGACACAGGTGGCACACATGGCCACATCAGAAAGGGCTAGGTTCCCAATTAGGAAGTTGGTGATGTTGTGCATCTTCTTGACGCGGAGGATGACATGAACCAGAAGGCAGTTCCCTACCATCCCAATAAGGACCACACCTGTGTACATCAGGATGATCAGCAGCTTTAGCCTTTGCACCAGCTGCAAACCCTGGAAAACCATTAATGTCCCATTCATGGCAGAATTGTGGGTGATGGGGCTGTAGTTAGTAGGCAAAGTGGCCAAATCTTCAAAAGACTCAGCCATTTTGGCCTCTAGGGTAATAAACCATTGATATCAGAGAGTTCTCTGGGCAAAGAACAGTAGTTCTTTTATATTGTTCTTTTATATTGTTCTTTTTGTATTTTATTTTATGTTGTGAGCCGCCCCGAGGCTTCGGCGAATGGGGCGGCATAGAAATGTTTTAATAAATAATAAATAAATAGTTATCATGGGTAGTTGAAGAGCTCTCTGTAGCTCAAATTACATTGAGCTCTGTAGCCCTTTTATCTGCAACCCAGACAGTGTGATTAATATTAGACATTTTCAGCATGATAAGAATGTATATAAATGCATTTTATTTTCAGATGTGATGATTGCCATTTGTTTTGCCAAAGCAAAGAGGAGCAGAAGAGGAAGGCACACTATTTAGGCTGCATAAGAGAAAAAGACAAAGAGAGTATAAAAATAATTGGTTTTAGAAAGGCAAAATGAGAAATCATAGCCTAGAAATGTACTCTTTTCTACTTTTAGAAAATGATTTCTGTGCACATTGATGGAGCAATCTGATGTCATAGCCACTAATCCATCCTAGGCCCTGCTGGATTCCTGGAATGTGGTTCATTTTTCTTCCCTCCTCCTGTTGCAGGCAAAACCGCTTGACCCCAACCTCCCTGCTAACATTCTGATCCAGAACAGAAGCCCCACGTTGCTTGTTTCTTACATTAAATTCCTGGATCCAAAGACAAGCCACATGCTTAACATCACATGTACTTTGGCCTTCAGATGTTTGGGGCCAAAACTTGGAAAGAGCCAAAGTTTACTCCTCAATACTCTGCAAGGAAGGCCAGGCCACACATACCTGGGAATGAATTCATGGAATATCTTAGGCTCAGGAAACAGGATCAGGGAAAGGGATAATGTCTGAAAGGGGCAATTTCAGAAAACTCACTCTGTTCGATGGAGTGATTGATTTGCTCTGTTGTCTGTCACTTTCTAGCTGAATAAAGATTGGCCTATTTGGAAGTTTATCAGTTTATATGCAAATTGGGCACTGAGGTCTTTGCCATTGCTGCGGTGGCACCCTTTGTAGCTACTGCTATTCAGTTCACTCACCCTGGCTCACTAATCTGAGGTCCCAAAAGACTGTGGCAGCTTGGAGTGCCTTTTACTTCAGCCGATTCATGAGCTACTGCCTGCCCTGGACAGGGATGATTCAGTCACAAGGGTACAGGTACCAGCAAGCCCAAGGCTGGACCTTGTAATGCACTCCTCATGGGGCTGCCCTTAAGGCTGGTCCAGAAGCTGGGATTAGTGCTGAATACAGCAAGTCAGCTGCAGTCAGGAGCTGCCCCTGTTCAGGATGTCACTCCTTTGCTTAGGGAACTGTCATGGCTGGCTATTCACCATCAGGACAAGTTGAGGTTTTTGGTAGTGTATGAAGACCTAGTCAATGTGGGACTAGGATACCTGAAGGAGTGCCTTCTCCCTTATCAAGCTTCCCAGTCACAGGGCTTGCTGCTGGTTCCTCATGGACCAATAGCGCAATCAGAGTCCACCCTGAGAAAAGCCTTCGGTGTGGTGACTCCTCTCTGAAACTCCCTGTTGCTGGAGATCAAGCAGGTGCCAAAGTTATATTGTTTCTGGTGTCACCTGAAAACATGTGTATTTCAGGAGACCTTCCTTGACCAACCACTCTTTTACTGATATTCTGTTCTATTATACTGTTTTCTTCTTTTTGTTTCTTAAAACTTTTCCCTGTGCTTTAAACTACTGTACCTGACTTTGATGGCTTCTAGCAGGTGGCACAGTGATTTAAACTGCTGTGCTGCTGGGCTGGTAGATCGAAAAGGTCGCTGATTCGAATCTGCACAATGGGGTGAGTTCTTCTTGCTCCGTCCCAGCTCCTGCCAACCTTGCAGTTCGAAAGCATGCAAATGCAAGTAGATAAAAAGGTACCACTTCGGTGGGCAGGTAACAGCATGCCATGCACTTCGGTGTTTAGTCATGCTGGCCACATGACCATGGAGACTGTCTGTGGACAAACGCTGGCTCCCTTGGCTAGGAAACGGAGATGAGCACTGCCCCCTAGAGTCAGGCATGAGTGGACTTAACGTCAAGGGGAAACCTTTACCTTTACCTTAGCAGATAAGTTGGTATATAAATGCTAACAATGAATAACAATTAATACATAAATCTGAAAGTTGGTGATAATAAATGTGTGGATTTCTAAAATTTCTGTACTTATGGAATCCATTCATGGAAATTCTTAATTATTGGAAGAGGGTGGTGAAGGCACCATAAATTTTGATTACCACCAGTATATGAAGAACCATAATACAAATAAGCTAATGACTGGTACTTTTCACTGTACTCATTTTAAAAAACCCCTCTTCATATTTAGGCAGTGAAAAGCCCTACATTTTCCAGCATAGCTCTCTGGGGAATGCTGGGTGTTGTATAACTGCTTTCTATGTAAGGACTGCACCCTTCATAACTTAGCAGAAGGGTTGCTAAGAAATTGAAACTGGCTGCAATCAGACATGTTTCTGATCTGCATGTGACTGATGGGAATGTCCCTGATATTTGGAAACTGGTGGCTGGGGGAGAATCTGAAATACTTGGCCAGAAATTATCAAGAAAGATAAGGGTACCATAAGGGACACTATGGATAGCTTTCCTCTCTTATCAGAAAGGATGGAGAAGGTCCTTTTCCAGTGGAATTGTATATGTTGGCTGCAGAGTTTGGACCCTACCAAAACAGTGCGGTTCTATGAGACCAGGAAACTTGGTCTTCAGTCACTGCATATTGATTCCCACCCCCATAGCATCCTCCTCTAAGCTATTCTTTGTACACCACACATTTTAGAGTCCACTTCTGGTCACCATATCTATATCTCTGTGTCCTCTGAAGTGTAATAAATGGCAATACCCTAGATTGAGATGTAAATAAATGCCTCTCAGAAACGCTGGTGGCTGTTTTACATGCATAAATGTAACCTCCACCCACTGAAGCATACGCATTTAAAATACAATTCAAGTATGAAAACTGTAAGGTGAAATGATGAAGCGAACTAACTCCTTTGTATTTAACAGCCAAACAAATACATCTCCCAGGGGGAAGGGAAATAGTGAACCACAGTGCTTGTAGGTGATTATTTAAGTTTCTTCCAGAGTAACTTAACACAGACAATAAAATCACTGGAAGAAAATGCAGATTACAAGAACAAAGGAAATAACTACATGTCTAGAGAAGATCAAGAACTAAAGTGGTACTTATTTATCAAATACATAAGCCTCTCTGCTCAAGAAGTGATAAAAGAGACTCCAGTGGCCATAAGGTAACAGCATCATACTTAACCATAATAAGCTTACATTTTTTATGGAAAAGCATTAATAATAAACAAACACCTATTAGTTAGCATCAGAAATGGGCTAAGTGGGATTCACAACATCCCCATTCTTTTTCCTACCTTTGCTCTGGAAAGCTGTTATTCTGTGAGAGGAAGAGACAATTCTGGATCTGATTTCATGGTCTTCCCAAGTCAATATGGTGTGTCTGCCTTGTAAAATCAGACAAACTGTTTGATGATCAGGAGTTTAAAGGGACAGAGATTGATTTTGCTGGCATGGCACACCCCTCTGCTTTCTCAGCTTAATTTACAAATGGAAGAGTTCATTGGCAGGAGTGCCTAGTCCTTTCCCCAAATTCAATGCCTATTGATTTTCATTTCTGATCTTATTTTATCTTTACTATAGCAAAACAAAACCCTTCTTTGCTTTAAAAAACTCCCTGCAAGCACAAAACTGCAGGATACCCTGCATATCTCCCCAAATGCATGAGTCTGTGTAATAAGAGACCTGCAAACAATATGAAATCATCAAAATAGCTGGCATATTCAACAAACTTGTTTAGTGAAACTGCTTTGAACGGTCGACCCACAGAGAAGATGGGTAACTTCATAAGGGCAGAATTGGGCATGACACTGTTGCCTGCAGGAGAGGAAAGCTCTTGACCTGTAAAATGCTAAGGCTACCATTTCAGCCGTGGATGCTCTCCATGGTGCTGAAACAACCAAGTAGGTGATTCCTAATATTCAGCACTTCCAAGAATAGCTAAGGTGCTGAATCATCAACTCATAGCTACCCTAGGGCAACATGGTTCAGTTAAGAGTTTGGAATACTTGGTATACTGTCATGGTATAAGCTATAGTGATTGAAGTCTTATAGCTTATCTTATAGCTATAAGATTGAAGTCTGGGCCCTCAACAGCTTATAGGTTATGACCTATAAAGCCCTCAACAGCTTGGGACCTGGGTATCTAAAGGAACGCTTGCGTCCATATATGCCCTCCCACCCCTTGAGATCAGCAACAGATACCCTTCTCTGGGAAACCTCTGTGAATGATATTAGGAGGGTGAGTACCCGGAGGAGGGCTTTCTCTGCAGTGGCGCCCCATCTATGGAATGCGCTCCCCAGAGAGGTCCGCCTGGCTCCGTCGTTATTTGTTTTTCGGCCCCAGGCTAAGACCTTTTTATTTAAAACTCATTTTAATTGTTAATTTACTTGTATTTAGAGGATCTTAAATCTTTTAAGCTGAGATGCACCAGGTTTTAATATTTTTACTGTTTAATTGTTATATTTATGTATTTTGTTTTTGTTGTGAGTCACTCCGAGGCTTTGTTGCAATGGGGGCAGCATAAAAATGTTATAAATAAATAAATAAATAAATAAATAGTTATAGAAATACCTGGGGATGTTGGTCCATCTCACTAGTCTCAGGGAATAAGCAAGAGTATCACGTTTTCTTAAACCATGCACATTGATCCAAACTGGTCAACAGGTGACACTTTGGAAAACAATTTCATTGGGTCTGTTATTGCTAGTGAATACAGGCATCTAAAGTTTCCTTAATGCAAAGAGGTCTTTCAAATAAAGGAAAAGAAAGTAGGCTAATCCCAACTTCGTATGAGTGGACCTTTGCTCAAGCAACTGGAATTTCCTCTCCTTTCAGCCCCTCCATTCTCCTGCATATACTACCAAGACTG